TAATAATGCTAATGTATTGATATTTTTCTAGTTTTGATTTAAGTTTGCTTGTTTAGCGTCGTCACAGTTGCTAGGTGACAAGACGTACGCCGGGGTAAGGAGGAGAGGCTAGACCGTCCAAATCCACATCCTCTTTTTTTCCGGTCTTCCCGGTCTACCAAGGACCCGGCCTGTCGTTTTGGACACAGCCATAGGCAGTAAGCAGGGAGTGGAAGGGAGGAGCGTGGCAAGAATTTTACCGGAAATACGTCATTAATGATCGTAACATATAGGCTATTTAGACCTGAAGAGAGAATGAACACACTGCCCCCTGGTGGCGTCTTTGTGTAAAACAATGTTGCAACAACGTGTCATTTATCAACTTATTTATTTCAGTAGATCAACAGAACATTTCCAAATATCATCAATTAACAGAATTCTTCATAAAAAATAAAAACATTTATTAGCATTTATAAAAACTCTCAGAAAACATTCTTAAGTGGCCTAATAAAGAAATAAAAGCAGAGCTTTGCTGCCACACGGTGCTGTGAAGTGAGAAAGAAATCCTGTCAAAATGAATCCATTTCTGCAGCTATTTAGTTATTAGAAATAAAAACAATCTGTGTGTGTATACAAACCAGAAGGAAACAAGTGAAACAGCAGCTGCATGTGAAAAGTCACTGAAGAACCAACATTCTGAACAATAAGAAAACTTTTCTGACCTTTTTAAAACCTGTAACTTTTTTCATTTAAGTCAACACAACTGTCAATCATTACAGCTCCGGGCTACATATGGATAAACTGAATAAAGTGGCAAAAAAGATGCAAGAACTGCATGAACGCTGGTCCTCATTAATCATTCCTGATCCTTTAAGAGTTGGAGAATCAGGGCCAACAAAAATATACATAAATGGGGAGAATTACTGAAGAAACATCAATGTTTAAGAGCTTTTGTTGCCATTTATTTTACAGAACTAGCAGGCAATTTCCTAAAGATGTTCTTGGCTGAGCCACACTATGTGCTTAGTGAAGTGTAAACAACAGTCTGAGCCACTCTACACCTTTAACTGCTTAAATTAATGTAAAAAAACAATAGAAAACGTATCTATACAATATTTACAGGTATATTTAACTGACTAATATCCTGTTACAAGGTGAAAGCAGCAGAAAATGAGTGGCTGATTTTATTGCTGATTAATCAATATAACCAGAGATTCAGATGCACAGAGTATTTGTGTTATGAAGTGCACTGATAAAAAGTACTAAATCCTCACTTTATATTCTCATAAGTTTAAACCCAAATATTTAAGCCATCTGCTTCCATTAGTTTGGTTTGATGAACCACAGCAGGAAGTCTCAGTAACATAACAGAATCAGAACCTCAGTGGTAGATCGTCCTGTTCAGTCTCAGCCTGGATTAGCAGTGCGACCCAGTATTTATGCCCCGCCTCCTGTGTGTTTGGACAAGGTTTAGAGCAGCATCAGTTAGCACCTGAAACCCTAAACCGTTCACCTCCTCGGTATTAACTTTGCCCGTAGCACAACCTTGAGAGGAGCTCAGCAGACGAGGGGGTTTGTTTGTTTTGGTCGGCTCTCCTCGGTGGGATTAAACCCCGCCTCCTTGAATCCGTCACTGCGAGGGGGCCGCTCTAGTTTTTGAAGGCTCCGTAGCGACTGGCCTTACTAATGAAGTTCTTGAGCAGGTCGTGGTCCATGTCTGCAAAGGCCTGGGTCTGCGTAACAGCTGTTAGATGGTTGACACAAAACTTGAAGCAGAACTCCTCCAGGTCCTACAAATGAAGGAGGTGAGTGCTGAGGAGTACACCTGATTAGCTACCGTGCGGGAACACTCCACCATCGCTACGGTGTTTTTGAGCGTGCCTCGGGAGCTACGAGCTTACCTTGGCCTCGTACTTGACGGCGGCCGAGAGCAGAGTGATGGCGTTCTCTTCGGAAATGCCCCTCTTGATCGTCTCCTGGCACAGCCTCTTCAGCCTCGTCTCTCGGTAGAACGTAGCCAAGTCGAGCAGCCCTGCACACGGGACGAGAAGTCACAGCTGCATAACTTTAGCCCTTCACCTCTGACCAGGGTTCCCACACCTTGGTCAACATCAAATCCAAGGACCTTTCAAGGACTTTCCAGTACCAATTCAAGAACCATGTGTGACGGTACTTACCTACTGCAGAATGTTACCAATAAACAACTTTAACATCATGTAAATTCAATTAAAAACTGAACAACGTAGAAGTTGTTGATTCAGAAAGAATGAAAGAAAGTGGATTAAACGTTTAATCTACATTCATATCCACAACACATGGACATGTAATTATGTCCTGGGAGGTTCGGCAGCTCAGTTTGGGAGGAGGGGATGTGAAAATGTCCAGACGCTCGGTGAGGACAGGAGGAGGTGCTCTCACAACCCATTCTCACTCCCGACTCGTCAACATATTGACGCTTGGTCAGGTAGCCTTCTGCGTCCAGGTTTGGACGCGTTGGGTACCCCCCTCACGTCAGTTCTTAACGAGATTAGGCCGTGGAGGAGGAGCGCGTTGTCATATTTTTGAAAAAAAAGAGTAGGAAATGAGCGACAACTAACCGTCCTAGACCTTAAATTTAGCTTCTATTAGCCATATACAACCTATCCCTGACCTCAGTACCTAAAATTAACCATTAATCCTGATCCCTCATATTAACCACAGACCCCCAACCCAAAGACCCCTATGTGGCGCAACCTGGAAAAGCCCTGGGTGGCAATGACTGACGCGAGGGGGGTACCAGACGCGTCAAAACTGGACGCAGACGGCACCAGACCAAGCGTCAATATGTTGACGAGTCAGGAGTGAGAACATGTTGGCTTTCACCTGGGCTCAGAAACAACGACCCGCCCTACTCTGCTCTGATTGGTTAAAACTACGACTATGGCTCACGTTATTTGTTGAAAGCCACGTCACCATAATCCTGATCTATCCACCACAACAAATGTAAGTTTTATTTTATTATAATTATTTTTTTTTTTTACAGATGATGAAAATCAGTCGTGAATATAAAATTTCAATCCCCAAAAAAACATTCCAGGACTTTCAAGGACAAGTGTGGTTTTTGGCTGTTTTCAAAAACTTTCCAGGGCCTCGAAATACTTTTTCAAATTCACAAACTTTCAAGGACCTGTGGTAACCCTGTGACTGGTTTTAAGGTTTCAGTTCTCGGTCTGCGTTAACGCTCACCAATAGCATCCTCTGGCTGCAGGCTAATGGTGTCTGTGTAGAGGTACTCCAGGAAGGCTCTGTACACCAGGTAGGAGAACTGGTGGATTTCTATGGCCTCATCGTCCGTTTCATTCAGCAACGTACGGAAATGCTCACACCTGAAGAGAAGCAGACAAAACGGCAGAGTGTGAAGTGTATGTAAACCTTAAAGAGATGAATGTTAAAGCTGCTGCCTGTGGTTCACGAGGGTCACAATGGTAACCACACAGCTGTGTCCATCACACCAAAACTAATCTGTACTTTTACATCACAGCTTTGTTTTCATTTGGTCTACGATATGTAACGTGCCGCATTACTTCTTTTTATTCAAAAATTAGATCCAATCTGACATCTTCTGTTTCAAACACTTATCTTCATGCCATTATACTTTCAACCATGTCGTACTGTTTACCTGTTTGGTCGCTTACTACAAACGACATCTTAGAACCCATGGTTAGGCTCTACAATAGGGCAAAACTCATAACAAACTACCTGGTTGGACTCACAGTTCTTTGTCAAATGCTTTGACTTCTCAGAACTATGTTTTGTATAGTGGTGTAAAGTTGTATTTTCAGATTTTTTATGGTTCCAGTTATGGAACTCTTTTTGCTCTGTTGCCCAAACCAAATCTTGGAAATGGTTGTTTAACGAAGTCTGTTACAAGTGGACAACTGACATTAAAAACTGTTATGACCAGAGACAACGTATGTTGTGACTTGGCGCTATATAAATAAATTGAATTGAATTGAATTATGTTTTTATTAAAGCATGGAATGACACTCCTCAACATATAAAGTCCATCTCAACACTGGTGACCTTTAAGAAGACTCGTCTGCCATCTGCTGGACACATTTTGTTTTTGCAAACATATTTAGGTGTCTATTGTCCAAATGCGGTCTTTTGTTGTAATTAGGTACTTGTTTGTCTCTGTGTCTATAGTGTATAATAATGTGTTGTGATGTTTGATTTTGTGTGTTTTTTATGTTCTGCAGAACAAGAACGTGCTCTAAAACAGCAATTACGCTGAGTCAGGCCTGATTTCTTTTAATCTTTTTCTGTTTTTAAAAATCAATCAATCAATCAATCCAAAAGTCAAATTACGCCATTCTCAATGGAGCCACACATTTTAATGTATAAGTTGTAGATTTTATTTCAAAGATGCGCAACAGGATACAGGACAAAGAGTTTGAATGAGATAATACTTCAGGGGGCTTCAGTGTTTATGGTATGTAAACATAAATTCATGTAGTCAGTCTCCAAATAACTCTCACAAAGTTAACCCTCCGGTTATGTTCGTTTCTGAGGAACAGCAGAATGAAATCATGCAGTTTCAGAAACAAAACAAAAAAAAATCCCCTAAAACATTTTTCTGTCTAATTAACACCATAACTAACTATTTCAATCATTATTTGTGTCTGTATGTTTTTTTTCCCATTAAAAAATGCACATTACATTTTTTATATCCACTGAAAGAAGCTAAACACAAAACAAAAACAAATACAGCCGCATTAAGATGCTGAATTCTCTCAGTTATTGGTGGAGACATCTGTGTACAAGACATGGCTGTGGTCTGCTGGGAGAGCAGCATCAGGACCAGAGATGTCTGCAGGCTGAAAAAAAAAATTTCTAAAGCTGAAAAATAATGAAATAGAAGCCTGAGACGTGTGAGTCATGGGCGATGACGTCACTGAACAAACTGACCTCAATCACAGAGACTCCACCAGATTCCCCCTGTGATGAACTACAGGAGGGACAGAGGAGCTCGTTCACAAACACTCCTCCAACGTCACAGAAATATTCTGGAAATCATTCCGCTAATCTATTTCACTATGTCCTGAGGAATATACTGACTTTTTTTTCTTTTTTTCATAAAAAATACTGTCTGAATATCCTTATTTATTTATTTTTGTTATTATTTTGTTGTTCTTCACCTCACAAACACATGTGCAACAGTTGGATTGTGACTGGAGCAGAACTATATCTGGTGCAAACATGGAGCCAATATTTCAGCAGTTAATACATCTGCATCTGACTACTGACTCAACTCCTCTCACAACAGGGACTGATACCACAGTTAATCACTGCTCAGCTTAGTGTTGCTATTTTAGCTGTGATGATAACATTTCCAAACACTTAATGTTGCAGTATTTCTTTTTTTACAGCTCACCAATTTGACAGCTACATTTTAACCACAAAGAGCTCATGAAGCAGCGTAGTATGGAGGACCGAATCTGACATAATTAGAAATAAAAGCAGGAATCTATAAATGGACCAATTAATAAATACACTTAAAATGTGCCAATTAAATTAAAAAAGAAAACTTTATGTTTTATAAAGTAATTTACCTACATAATTATTTTTCCAGCTTAGTTCAAATAAATTATATATTTAGAACATTATTTAACGTTTACTGTTTTTTAAAATATATATTAGACACAGATATAAGATTTTTTTCTTCTTTCTGCTGCCTTTCATTTCATTTTATTAGTTTTTAGCATTTTATTTTTATTTTATTTTATGAAATGAATAAATGAATAATGAAATGAAAAAAACATTGTTTTTTTTCTTTTATTTGAACATGCATTTGTGTCTTAAATGATTATATTTAATTTTTTTTTTACTTTCTCACAAGTCTTTATGTGTTGTTTTTACATTTCTCTGTCTCCTGTGTTTACATTTCCTTATATATTTCTGCCTCATAATGCAAATAAAGTGGGCGGTCTTTCTTAGGTCAGCTCCTCTCCTATTGGTCAACAGACAGGAAGTAGCAGGAACCATGTGTAGATCTACTGCATGCTTGTACTGCCTCAGTTTAGCTTAGTTTAGTTTAAAACAAACTCAAGAAGGAATAAACTATTTCCCAAGCAGGAACTATAAATTAACTATTTAATTATCAACATTTTCACGTTGTCTAACTCAAGATTTATTTATCATCTTTACACACTAAAAGCAGCAGCACTGTCTTTTTCCATAATTGTGTCTTCTCCTCCTCACAGCTAATCTCTGCTGGCTCTAAACCAGCTGTTATCTCCTCTCAGGGTAAAGTAAAACAAACAATGGAGTCTTCATTTTCTAAAGTGTCATTTGTGAGCGGTCCTGTCACAGTGGAGGTTTTGGAGCGCTGCATAATTTGTGCTCTATGTCGACGGTGCAGACAGTCTGGCTCCTTCCTCCTGATGGTGCAAAACAGCAAAGGGCTGGAATGCAGAAAATGGGTGTTCAAGTGTGGTTAAAAAAAGAAGCATGGGAAACAATAGGCCACATTTTGCTTCCTTATGACCAACAAGTCACTGTCTGAAAGTTTAAATTTAGGACAACAGCATACAGGTGCTCCTTATTTCATAGGATCCTGCAGTCATGATGGCAGCAAAATGATCAAAATTAAACAAATGTATTATTCTCTGTTTTCATCAAATACAAAGATTAGTGCATCAATGTTTTCACTCCTCACAGCACATCTTCTTAAAATAAGAAGTTTTATCATGTAACTAAAATGTAAGTCAGAATGGAGGCTGCAATTTTGTAAAATAAAAATAAAAGACTAGGGGGCACTTTCAATTCCACATAAAATTTGGGCTGTGTATTGGCAAGAATTTGGCGATACGATACATATCATGACAGAGGGGTCACGGTACGATATATCCCGATATACAGTATTGCGATACTGTAAGCAAGGCAATATATATTGCGATATATTGTGATTTTTTTTGTCCAAAAATACCTCTTACTGAAAAAAAAAAAAAGAAAAGCTAATGTTTACTTACAATGTTAATGCTACGCTTACTCTCTGGCGCTCAAGAGGTAGAGGAGCCAAATGGCTGGCTCACTGCTGCCAACTAGTGGTCAGAGGCTGAACTACAACATAAAAATGAACGGTTGGCAGGAAAGTTGACATTTTAAACCTTAATTAAAAATCGATACAGGGCTTTCGGGAAATGAAATATCGCGATATTTCAGTGTAACGATATTTTCTTCCACCCCTACATAAAATACAAATACAATTTAGTTTAATTTAACGAAGAAACACAAATAAAAGTACCATAAAACAACATCTTTTGTGTAGGGGTGCAACGACACAGAAAATTCATGATTCGGTTCGATACTTTAGTCTCATGGTTCAATTTTTTTTTGATAAAAAATAAAATAAAAAAATAAATAAATAAATGTCCATGTCCTTCTTAACTTGTAATTCATTGAAATTTTTATGAACATTTGTTTAACCTCAGAAGTACAGTTTTTTAATGAAATGTTGCTGAAACAGCAAGTTTCTCAGTGGATCTGTGCTCAACAATGCAGCCTAGGCAGAGTAGTCGAACACAGATCCACCGATCCTTCAACAGAAGACATGTTGATAAAATAAAACAAATCTTTATTGTTCCATACATAGTGTGTATTTAATGGTTCGATACAGATACATGTATTGTTGCAGCCCTACTTTTGTATATTTATTAAACAAATGTGTTACCTTACTTGATTTTAAACACATTTGGAAGCAAAAACTGGTTTTTCAAAACTTAGAAGTAGAGCCAGGTGATTATTTAATTGCAATTATTGATAAAGAAAAAAATTCAGGTCGATCAAGGTGATCAGCTGTGAGCCTTTTAATCGATCAAACATGGCGGAAATGTGTGCAACAACAGCCAATCAGAATCCACCTTCTCCTGCTTCACTTTTGTTTATAAGTTGCTAATGAAACACAGACGTAACCACAGAATTAACCAAAGTAATCCAGAACAAAACGCTGAATCTCACAGAGTTCGCTTATTTGGGCGAGTTTCTGAGGTATTTTGGCCATTGTTGCTTCCTGTACCTGCTGTTACCTGCAAACAGTCACGCAGGGTGAGCTCTGAGCTCCCCTCCTGAGGGCGAGGGGAAAAAAAGAAAAGTGAGCCACGATGCGTGACTCGCTAAAACAAAAGCGTCCTCCAAAAATATGAAGCAGTCTTAGGGTAACGTTCAAGACAGAACAATGTCGCAGCAGGTCTTCATTTATCTGGAGAAGAACTTTTCTGTAAGTTTTATCGGCAAACGATGGGCTGGACGAGACGTGGAGACCACTTCCTGTCTGAGTCTCATCACAAACAGCAGCTGAGAGACGCTGCAAACTCCTGAACGCTCAGAAGCTGGGAGTTTATCCCACATGTTGTCGTGTGCAGAATCAGATATTCTTTCAGAAAAAATTAAACAGCGTTGTTTGATAAAGCTCTGTAAACAGGAGGGGGTTCCTTCCATAACAAAAGTAATGCGCTTCGATCCAAATTCAATTGGCATGTGTGCACAAATTGCGGCTGTTTGTGGGTTTATGTTTCTTTATGACAATTTTAATGAGAAATTCAATTTTAAAACTTTAATTTTTCAAAAGGATAACTTTATTAATGTGAGACTATGATTTACACATAAATGATTTTTTTCTTAGTAAATACCTTTTTAAAAACCTTGCAAAAACTATTTAATGTTGTACTGAACCACAGCTATTTGTTATATTAGTGTAGCTATTTATTAGTTAAGTTATTTTTCAGTCACTTTTTAGGTTAACAAAAAAATCGTGACATTAATCGAGATCGGATATGAAAAAATTAATCGTGATCTTTTTTTTTTTTTTTTTTGCTATATGACCCAGCCCTACTGTGAAGTAAGGAAAACATCAACAACAAAACATGAATATCCAAGAGGAGCTTCAGACTGTGAATTTTCCTCACCTGATTTTCAGCAGGGCCTTGTGAACATGAATGCACTTCCCATCAACTAAAAACTTGAGGTCAGAAATCTCCGGACTGTCGAACTCTTTCTTCAGAGACTGAGCGACGGTCATGTAGTCGTCACCGTCTGAGAGCACAGAAAAATATGATTTACTGTTTATAGGCGTTTTCCCACTAATGCTATAAGTTTAAATGGATTAGTGCTAAATGACATAATCTAACTTTTCTAAGTATTTACTGTAAAGACAAATCTCAGACAGTTTTCCAGGATGCTACATTAATTACATTTAAAAGGTAGACTTGTGTGTTGATGTAGATCAAATTAGAAAGAATAGTATTAAATGACAAAGTGATGATGTCAATTGTTTCTGTGGTACAGCAGTGAAATGTTATTTTAATAGATTTATCTGAAGGTCAGGGGCGTGGTGGCCGAATCGTCCGGTACGTTTGTTTTGTTTTTATCAACCTCATAAAACGCTGCTGCAGCTCAGCGCCACCCACACGGGCTCAGCCGGTGGAATAGTTAAACGTACAATGCGAGCAGCCCGTCTAACAAACAGAAGATGAAAGGAGAGCAGGTAAAATGAACAAACATGTCAAAAAGAAAGGAGAAAGAGATGGATGGAGCAGTACAGTTAAGGAAAAAAAAGAAAAGGTGCAAAATGCAGCCAAATGCACCAAATTAACAGAACTTTTCCAAGATGGAGGGACCAAAGTCAGAGAGGCAGTGATGACAGGACAGAGCAGCAGGAGTGCAGGTTAGCAAACACTGTCTACATGTCATCTAAATGTGTTTCTCAATGTGTTCAGGGCTCACAGAACATTAAACTAAGCAGAAATGTTTTACCATATGTGCAGAAATCTTTAATCTGCTTTATCAACTAAAATTAAAATCAATCCATACTTAATAACCAGAAAAAGTGACATTTCCTCAAAATACAATTCAGGAAATAGCCTGTTTTCTTTTTATGTTTCTACAATAATATAACTATTTTTGCTCAAGAAAATTACATCGCAGTGAGTCTGATCACTCTCTGTGTGTGTAACTTTCCTTTTGTTGTAGGCCTATTGGCATTGAATTATTTACAAAAGTGCTATGAAATGTGTTGTTGCTGTTTATCGTTATTAACAGCTGAAAAGTGCAGTTAGTCATGGAGGTGGATGCCAGTCATAGAGGAGCAAAAACCAGGTACATGTTCAGGACAGGTCTTTGTATTAAATGATATTAACCTCTTGAGATCTGAGGATTGTAGTCTAAAGGGCTCGACACACGGGCAGCGACAAACTACAGCGATTAAAGGGCTCGACACACRGGSAGYGACAAACTACAGMGATTAAAGGGCTCGACACACGGGCAGCGACAAACTACAGCGATTAACGGCTGTCATCGCAGCCAGGGTGAAACCCGACACACGGGACACGATAGTGATTGCAGCGTTGCGAATCGCGCTCTCAGGTCACTTGTCTTCACAAAATTTGATTGGTTCTTGACTCTGAAGGCGGGTGTGCATTACAGACGTGTAAACTAAACAAAACTTGCGATGCTAATGATATTGAAAAACAAACACACATCAAGATACCTTTTTATGAGGAAAAACTTACCATAAACTTCATCCTGGTGCCAATAAATTCCCACAAAGCTTTTTAGTAATCCCTTGGTGAAAGTGTTAGCTAAATGCAGTGTGTAGCATACTCTCCTCTCATTGGTCAGTGAATGAAACCCTCGCTGATTGGTTGTATGCTAAGCGACAGCAACAAAAGTTGAACATTTTTCAACTTTCATATGTCGCGTCGCAAGCTCGCGTGTGCACATCTACGTGTACGAGTGCGAAATTTCACATGCACTATTTTCGCCGGTCGCTTAGCTGGAGGAGGGCAAGCGATTGTCGCCTCACCGCACAGGCTCCATAGGAAATGAATGGAGAGCGAGCGACGTCGCCTCCCGTGTGTCGAACCCTTAAGTCTAGTCTTTTCTTTAGGTAAAGTTTGTTAGTTTTTATGTAAAGGGTTGATATTAAAGGGGACATATCATACAAAATCCAGTTTTTATGGACAGTCTTTTTGACATCTGAAACAGGCTGAAAATTTCACAGTTTCCCTTCACCATGTATTTTTCTTTCTTCTGACTGAGTTTTATCCAGTAAGTATTCACGTTCTCTAACCTGATTATTTAAACTGATTTTAATACTTTTGTGAATGTTCCCAAATGTGTACAAGATATAAAAACAAGTAAAATCTACATCTTTAACCACAAACCTACAGCAGACTCACTCTGGATAAAAATATTTCACCAGATCTTTCAGGAGAAAATGAACGAATATGTTTGTTGATTTGACAAAGTCTGGTTTTGGACTAGAATGCTGTGGTCTTCAGACGTGACATGTTCGTAAGAACCCTTTGTACGAACAAAAG